GTGTGCACACATATTCGCGTTAAATGCAGTACATGTGCACGTGGAATCAATTTGTAAAAGTGTAAAATACGTAAACGTATGTACATAAACAATAAAACTTTCTCATGAATACCATAAAATCATTGGTCTTGAAGGGAATGTACTAAGAAAATATATCGATGGCTGAGTGGAAGATCGACCTATCTCGGCAGCCAGTTCGAAAACGCTCTATCTCAAAAAACTTTTCAAGAACGCCCTATTTCAGAATTTAATTGAAAAACACCCTATCTCACAAATCGGTTCAAAAATGCCCTATCTCACTTCAAAATGTATTGAAAATATGCTGATATAGGGCGTTTTTGAATCGGCAGCTGATATATGGCATTTTTGAAACGAATTCTGAAATAGGGCGTTCTTGAAAAGTTTTTTGAGATAGAGCGTTTTCGAACTGGCTGCCGAGATAGGTCGATCTTCCACTCAGCCATCGATATGAGCGAATTAAAAAGCGTATACAATTTATAGCCGAAAAGTACATTTTTTGTATTGATTTCGTACTGAAGGAACAATTTCTTTTCCCAACACTGATACAGAATGTAAACAAACACAGGGTTGCAAGGAAAAAAGTTGTACGAGCTCAAAGTTGGCTGACGACCAACTTTGTTGAAAGCGATTAGTTGAAAGGCCGTTCGGACGAGGCGATTTTTGCTTTCAACTAAAAGTTGCCTGAAATATCGCCTCTTGCGAAAGCCCTATAAGTGAGTAAATTATAGGCGTTCATCCCATGATCTAACTACACAAGATCTGACAAGATGAAGCAAAAGAAAAAAGTAATTCTCTGGCTGACGTTTGTAATTTCGGCTACATGTTATTTTCTGTGAAAAGTAAACAAAGAATATGAAGACGAAGCATAAAGAAAAACGGCAAGCAATGTTGTGCACATGTTTGTGCTAACCAATTTATTATTTTTGTATGTGTTTTTGCATCCAATCCCCGCGCAATTCATTTTAATTACATTTGCACAAAAAATCACTTAAAAATCACTGAAATAAACCACCGACAAAATACACATAAAGAAAGAAGCAAAACAGAAATAGCAAACTTCAAAATTACGAACGTCACACACTTTTTTCTCAATTGCTATTACAAATGGCTGCTTCTCAACTGGTCAGATCTGTTCTAATTGGTTCATGGCTCATCCTTCTACAAAATAAACAGTTGAAGAAGGATGAGCGACTAAAAACTATTCACAGTCGCTTATTGCACGAGAAATCGTCATTCACAATACCATGGAAAATCGATAATCGAATAATAGTCGTTTATCTACTGCTAGTCGACACTCGCAATAGGGGTGTTTACTATTGAAAAAGGATGTTGTAAAATGCCCAAAAACCAAACATCGCAAAGTGACATTTTTGGCGAAATGTCAATGTTGCGAACAAAATTGTATGAACTATATACTATGGTATGAACTCCGTAACTATTGCAACTCCGGATAGGGTTGCCAGACGTACTGCTTTTGGGAATACACGTACTCCTTTTTATTGCAATGTACTCCCTTGTACTCCCAAAAAAAATATATGGAAATGTACTCCTTTATTAATTTTGTACTTCTTTTGTTCTCCTTTTCCAGCTATTAATATTTTATCATATACAGGGTGTAAAATAATAACTGTCGCACAGTTTTTTTTGTTTTTAATAAAAGGGACCTTTACAGATTTTGCGAAAATTTTATTAATTCGTTTTTAAATTTTAACCTTCATTTTGGATTACCAGCGGTTTCGGGAGAAAAGCGCAAGCGGCACGCAAGTCTTCGTCGGTTACTTTATTACATATCTTCTGTAGATATAGGCTAATTTCCCCCATTTGGGTCCTTTATACTCCATGAACGAAAGACACAAGATCACGTAAGAACAAGAGAGTGAAAAAAGTCGATTTTTTTAGCGGGTTCTACGCCATCTTGTTTCACTGGAAAACGAGCGAAAAGAAAACAAAGCAAAGAAAACAACCAAAACCAAAATTAGCCAAAATTATTGTCAGCCACTTTAAACGCACAATTTAGGTAAAATGATGCAACAAAATGCTTTGAAATGTGTTGTCATGTTGAGTTAACTCTTCTTTACTTGAATAAAAGTGTAAAATAGTGGTGCTTGTGATGTAAACAAACGCTCAGCTGACGAACCCGCTTTCGGAAACTTTTTTCTCAAAACCAGTTACAAATACAACGTCGCGTTCTTACGCCATCTTGTGTCTTTCGCTCATGCTTTATACTCCGTCTTTTGTCCAACATAAGGCCTCATACTCAGCAATCGAAAAGACTCCGAACCGGTGACTAGGAGGGCATTCATACGACCAACCCCGTACAGTTTTTTTTCTCTTTTTTTATACAAAGTCTAAGAAAAAGTACACCTATAAAAGACGTGAGTGCCGCATGAACTTATCTCCCAAAGCAAATGCAAATAAAGATTAAAATTTTAAAACTAATTAATAAAATTAATGTAAAGTATTTACAAAGTTACCAAAAAATTCTCTTTTTCGCAACATTTATAAAGGACCCTTTTATTTTTCAAAAAACCTGTGCGACAGTTATTATCTTACGCCCTGTACTTTGCCATTCACATTGTGGCAAACACTACTTAGTAAGCAAAGTTAAGTGTGATAGTGAAAAGGTGTAGGCATGGTCGTAGCAAGGTAGGAGCAGAGCGCTCGGGTATAAAAATCAGAAAAATATTAAATTAATTATAAGGCTTAAATTAAAAAACTGGCCATATATTCAGAAAGAGTTTGGAATTCTTTTGTAGAATTTAGTTGGGGAAAATTTCCTATAAGGGCGATCATAGAAGAGGTGGTGAGCGAAGGGGGAGTGGGCGTGGCACCCCTGACCAACTAGGCCCCCTATGGGTCCCTACCCTGCAGGGAAAGCTACTAGTTGTGAACTAGAATTCTACCGGTTTGCGTTTCAGCCGAACTAGTTCACGTTCTATCCTTTTTCAATGTTAGCGACTGGTATTTTTAACATTGCGATGTCCTACGAGATGTCAATTGTCAGGCTATGCATCAGCATCTACTAGTATAAATACTAGTAGCATCATACCAGTTGATGAGATAGTCTGCCAAATTGGCAGTGCCAATTCATGCCCCGTGAAAAGCATAAGTGTGCCTTTTTGCTCGCGACGCTCCAGCAGTCACAATGGCCGACAGAGAAGAGCACTCACGTGGTAAGCCTGAGGTCCCAGGTTCAAATCCTGGCGCAGGTAAAATTTGTTTATTTTCTATTTTTTATTTTATTTTTATTTTTTAAAAATTTATTTTTTTGTTTATGCTGTTTATTGTAATTTTTTAATTTAATAAAAAAATATTTTTGTTTAATTTCTTTGTTTTTATATTTCTTCCTAAATGTTTTTTTGCAACGCAATTAGATTTTCAAATTTGTTATTTATTTATAAATTGAATAAATTATTTTTACTTACATTTATTTAACTTTAGAAATCTTAACCACCTCCAAGCGGCCTCGAACCTGCGATTTCAGAACCATAACCAGTAGTCTTCACGTGACGCCACAGCCGACATTTATAAGAAAAGCAATTAATTGCGTTTTATTTTTGGCTTTGGCAATTCAAAGGCAGATGTCGCTAATCGCCTAAGTTCTTCGAAATTGTCGAACTGGTAGGCACATACTAGTTAATGAAATAGTATTTTTTCTAACTGGTTTGGCTTTTCACTGCAGGGTAGGGACGCCTTAGAAATATCACAATTGGGTGCCACGCCAACTCCCCCTTTGATCACCATCTCTTTAACGACCACCCTTATTGGAAAGCCAACTCATTTAGTTATTTATTTTTAACATTTATTGTTGCTTTGAAAAAGATTTCTAAAATATCTTTGTTTATTTGTACCTAATTAATGGTAATTTGTAACAATAAATTGCACAACAAATTAAAAAAAAAATTGTACTCCTTTTTTACGTCTTGTACTGCTTTTTTTCTATCGAAAATATAAATGTACTCCTTTCTCCGTTTCAAAATCTGGCAACCCTAACTCCGGATTGCAAATGTAATATTTTAAAAAATTTCCGCGCGTGAGAGAAAAAGAAAAGTGTTTACAATTATATTTCACAGCAGTCTTAACTGATACACTTTTTTTTGAAGTATTTAAAGAAAATTAAAAAAACGTGTGTTTCGCGAATTTGACTTTGCGATGAATGCCAGTTCAAATATTAAGGCAATGTCGCAATTTTGCCGCAAGAAAGTTTCCATACAAAAGTAATCAGCTGTGTCGCAGGGTGGCAAATTTTGATACAAATGCGACATTTGTAACAACTTTGCGACGTTTCATGAGTCCCACTTCCATCTCGCTTGTGAGAAAAATAGTAAAAAATGGCGAGATTTGCAAGCTCTTGAAGACGGACGGTTATACTATTGTACCTAGTGCACCATGAACCAAAAATACAAGATCACGTAAGAACGCGACGTTTTATTTGTAACTGGTTTTGAGAAAAAAGTTTGCGAAAGCGGGTTCGTCAGCTGAGCGTTTGTTTACATCACAAGCACCAAGTGTAAAATTTTTATATAAGTAAAGAAAAGTTAATTCAACATGACAACACATTTTCAAGCATTTTATTGCATCATTTTACCTAAATTATGCGTTTAAAGTAGCTGGCAATAATTTTGGCTAATTTTGGTTTTCGTTGTTTTCTTTGCTTTGTTTACTTTTCGCTCGTTTTCCAGTGAAACAAGATGGCGTAGAACCCGCTAAAAAAATCGACTTTTTTCACTCTCTTGTTCTTACGTGATCTTGTGTCTTGCGTTCATGCTAGTGCACTCAACGAACAGACCTCATATGTCACTTGGGTACCGATTACTAGACGGTAACTGTAATGTCAACTGCAGGGGGAATCGCGCGTCATGTGCGCCATTTGTACCTAAAGTCCGTTATAATCGTGTAATTTGGTCAGTTGCCAAATTTTATTTTTTTTTTGTCGGCTATAAATATATCGTCATTAGTTTTAATCATTGTATTTAATTATGGCAGAAGTAGACGATTTAAAACGCCTAGAAGATCAATTATACCAGTATTACCCTGAATTGAAACAAGATAGCGAGGGCGTCAAATTAGAACGCCGTAATCAGTTGTTTTTTCAGCTACGGTCTAGTCCTGTGGTACAATTGCCAGCATTCGATGCAGTCTCGTCCCTTGTAAACATAAAAGAGCTTTTAGAAAAGTGCAAGGATTGCGTACAGGACTCCATTTCAGGTTATCCAGAAATGAATGTATCATCGCCTTCTATGTCTCTTTTGGAGTCCAGTGGAGACGAGTTTTTAGCTACACACAAATCCTGTCGAAAGTCACGTAAACGAAAGTCTGCTTCCGCATTGGTCCGCCATTCTGAAATTGTGGAAAACCGAAATGAAGCGAAGGAGCAGGAAGCACCTCTTTCCTTATCTATATTAATACCTCAAGTTGTGAAGGGTTCAGAAAAAATGGAAATTTCTATTGATTTAGGCGGACTTGATGCCTCCCAACGATTATTTGGTAGTCGTGTTGAAGGATTATTGCGCAATCGTTCAAATAGCTCTAGTATGTTAGAAGATTTGCCTATCAAAGAAAAGTCTAGCTCAACTAACAAAAGTATGGATTTACAAATGTCTGTCGAGACATTAAATAACATAGAAACAATTCATGAAAATAACGATAAACAGGAAGACGAAATGCTTTCACGTTTGATATCACAAGTACTTGTAGACAATCATCAGTCTGAGACCTTGCAGGCTACTAATGTGCTTGATAATATTAACAACAATGAAATCAGTAACTATGACGCTGGCGTCCCAGTTTTGATTGATTCCTCTGAGCAGCAGGCAGCAAAGAAAAAGCGGCAACGAAAGCAAAAAAAACCCTTTGTTGAAAAGGGACCACCCAAAAAACGAGGACGCAAACCAAAAAATAAATTAAACAAGGATGATGCAGAAAATTTTGGAATGCCTAAAAGTGACTTGGCAAAATATGTTGAACTTTTTTCCAACACTTGCAATATGGCGGGGTCAGCAACGCCAGCTACATCTTCTACAATATCGCAACAAATGGTGACGTCAACAACTCATTACTTGGATCCGAGCGAGCAACAACCAATCACATATTATCTTGAAGGGGATTGGGAGAATGGAGGCAATTGCCAACTTATACAAACGGAAAATGCTCAAATTGATAATGGTCAGGAAGAATTCAATATGGCTGAGCTGGTAAGAGTGTTTTTTCATTCATTATAAGCACCTTTTGGAACAAGTAAAGAATACCCACCGTTTCGCCAGAAAAAAAACTAAACAAAATAGGAGTCAACAGAGCTTTTTGTGCTGATTATAACGGTACTTAAATTTACTTGCGGAAATTAAAACTAAGCGAATTTCGAAGGTCAAAGATCGAAATTAGCTTTTTGAAAAACCGTAATATCTCATAAACTAGTGAAGCGTTTGTAAAAGTTAATATACAGTTTTAAGGGCAATTAATACACCTTTCTTTTGGTGTGGTCCTTGTATCTTGCGTTTCAAATTTGTGATAAAAATTGGTTTTTATAAAAAACTAGCAGACCCGGCGAACTTGGTCCCGCACAAAATTAATTTTTTTATTGAAATATTTGGCCCAACGTTTTCGCCAGCTACTCAAGTTCATGTTTGGTTCTTTGGTCGACAGAAGGCATATACCCATTGCCGTCTTAAATAACCTGACGAAAGCGAATTTTGTCCGAAAAAGGGTCACCTCAATTTTTTCCAGAAAAACGAAAGCTACAAATTTTTTCTTTCCACAACAAATTTTAAAGTTAAAAGCTACAATTAATGCCGTTATAACATATTCGATATCTCAATTCTATCGACTAGGTGTATGGTGTCAAGTTAGCACTACATGCCATTTTTTCTTACAAAACGAGAGCTACAAGTTTTTTCTTTCCACAACAAATTTTAAAGTTAAAAGCTACAATTAATGCCGTTATAACATTTTCAATATCTCAATTCTATCGACTAGGTGTATGGTGTCAAGTTAGCACTACATGCCATTTTTCCTTACAAAACGAGAGCTACAAGTTTTTTCTTTCCACTACAAATTTTAAAGTTAAAAGCTACAATTAATGCCGTTATAAAAGAAAGAAAGAAAAAATTTGTAGCTTTCGTTTTTTAAGAAAAAATGGTATGTAGTGCTAACTTGACACCATACACCTAGTCGATAGAATTGAGATATTGAAAATGTTATAACGGCATTAATTGCAGTGTACGAAAATAAACTATATTGTACGTTACTATTTCGTTTCGTTTATTACTTCAACAGTTCGGTACAATACGAAAACAAAACGGCTGAGTTCACTTTGCGATAGTACACTACAGTAGTTTAGTAGTTACAGACGAAACAACAAACGAAATGAATCGTGCTGAGAAAAATATATGTATGTACAGTCAGTCAATAAAGTTTAGGTACAGCGAATTTTTTACAATACGGGCAACTATTTTTTAAATATTTTATTTTTCGCAAATTTTTTATAAAAATATGGTTAATTCTACAACAAAAACCCCAAAAAGAAAAGTTCCAAACCTTGTGCAAAATTAAAGAAAATTCTGCAAAATTTCATTCAAATATTGCACTTTTTATTTACGCTCTCTAGAAAAAATTTGAGTATGCAGTTTTTTATCAAACATTATTTTATATGGAGAAAATGAGCGACACCTTCAACAAAAAAAATTCCTAAAAATCAATGGTAAGTCCTAGCCACCACAAACTTGCACTTTGTTATACTAAAATTGAATGGGCTAAAAAACTGCATACCCAACTTCTTTCTAAAGAGCGTTAATAAAAAGTGCAATATTTGAATGAAATTTTGCGGAATTTTCTTTAATTTTGCACAAGGTTCGGACCCTGATTTTTGGGTTTTTTGTTGTAGAATTGAACATATTTTTATAAAAAATTATCGAAAAATAAAATATTTAAAAAATAGTTGCCCGTATTGTAAAAAATTCGCTGTACCTAAACTGTACTAAACTACTGAAGTGTACTATCGCAAAGTGAACTCAGCCGTTTTGTTTTCGTATTGTACCGAACTGTTGAAGTAATAAACGAAACGAAATAGTAACGTACAATATAGTTTATTTTCGTACACTGCAATTAATGCCGTTATAACATTTTCAATATCTCAATTCTATCGACTAGGTGTGTATGGTGTCAAGTTAGCACTACATACCATTTTTTCTGAAAAAACGAGAGCTACAAATTTTTTCTTTCCACCACAAATTTACAACAAAAAAGGTACAACTAATGCCGTTATAACATTTTCAATATCTCAATTCTATCGACTAGGTGTATGGTGTCAAGTTAGCATACATACCATTTTTTTCTTAAAAAACGAAAGCTACAAACTTTTTCTTTCCACAACAAATTTACAACAAAAAAGCTACAATTAATGCCGTTGTAACCTTTTCAATATCTCAATTCTGTCGTCAATGATGCATGGTGTCAAGTTAGCACTACATACTAAATTTTGTACGAAAAAGGGTCAACTCAATTTTTTCCAGAAAAACGAAAGATACTAATTTTTTCTTTCCACAACAAATTTACAACAAAAAAGCTACAATTAATGCCGTTGTAACATTTTCAATATCTCAATTCTGTCGTCAATGGTGCATGGTGTCAAGTTAGCACTACATACTAAATTTTGTTCGAAAAATGGTCAACTCAATTTTTTCCAGAAAAACGAGAGCTACAAATTTTTTCTTTCCACAACAAATTTTAAAGTTAAAAGCTACAATTAATGGCATAGTAACATATTGGATATCTCAATTCTATCGACTAGGTGTATGGTGGCAAGTTAGCACTACATACGATTCTTTCTTAAAAAACAAGAGCTAAAAATTTTTTCTTTCTACAACAAATTTACAACAAAAACACTACAATTAATGCCGTAGTTAACTTTTCCAATTTCGAAAAGTGTAGTGCTAACTTGACACGTTTTATTTTTGCATTTTTTATTATGTATGGCAGCACCGGCATTTCAGTTCAGTTGGTGTAGAAGGGAAAAAGTGAGGTTGAATTCGTTATTTTTTGCAACTTTAAATGCGAATTACTTAAAAACTATAAGCTTCCGGAGGGTGGGGTCTTCAGATTTAGAATCTGAAAAAGCTCCTCTATACTCCCTAATATTTTGTTTTTTCCAAAGCCTGGATCCGTTTTGGAAAATTTTCCCATAACTCGGTTCCAGCGCCACTAAAAATTATTAAAACCGTTTCGGTCGTTTAGGAGGAGTTAAGCCACCAGAATAAGTCTTTTACATACTGACACTCTTCGGCATTTTTTCCCATACAAAAAAACTCTCACGTATTCGTTATACGGAGAAAATGCGCAACATCATCAGCGAAAAAATTCTTAAAAATAAACGATATCTTATAGCCATTAAAAACTTGCACTTTATGATACTGAAATTGAGTGAACTACAAAACTGCATACTCAAAATTTGGTACAAAAAAATTTATTACGTGTGTCAAGTTAGCACTACACTTTTCGAAATTGGAAAAGTTAACTACGGCATTAATTGTAGTGTTTTTGTTGTAAATTTGTTGTGGAAAGCAAAAATTTGTAGCTCTCGTTTTTTAAGAATAAATGGTATGTAGTGCTAACTTGACACCATACACCTAGTCGATAGAATTGAGATATCGAATATGTTACTATGCCATAAATTGTAGCTTTTAACTTTAAAATTTGTTGTGGAAAGAAAAAATTTGTAGCTCTCGTTCTTTAAGAAAAAATGGTATGTAGTGCTAACTTGACACCATACACGTAGTCGATAGTATTGAGATATAGAAAAGGTTACAACGGCATTAATTGTAGCTTTTTTGTTGTAAATTTGTTGTGGAAAGAAAAAATTTGTAGCTTTCGTTTTTTTAGAAAAAATGGTATGTAGAATTGATAGATAGGTGTATGGTGTCAAGTTAGCACTACATACCATTTTTTCTTAAAA